AACAAAAAATACGTTTTTTTTGTTTCATAAAAGCGGCAAACACAAGCATTTATTGGTCATTTTTAATAAGAAAATCCAACAACTTCCTGTTCGGAAAGACTCTCGGTTGCAATCATTTGATATTGTTCAATTAAGCATATTTCTATAAGGTTTTAGTCATAGAACTTAATAACAGATTTATCTACTGACTTTGAGTTGGTGAATTTTTTCTTCTGATTGGTCTATGGAGACATGGTTGTGATAGCCTGTACTTACATTTTCTAGAAGCCACATCGATCAACGGTATCATGTCATCGCTAAAAGCGCTCTTGGAGTGTTTTTAACAACAAAATGTATTTGAAAACAACTTTCACTCACACATTTCAGAGATATTTTATACCAAATCTGATTTCCTTTAAAATCAATATTTTTCACCCGAAAATAGAGCTGGATAGGTAACTCTATATTAAAAAATAAAATGTTCAGTGCTTTGAACGTGGCCTGCCTTTCCCTTTCAGCTGGTTGAAATTACTTAGTGATCTACATTGTATATTTGTTTGTTTGTTTAAGTACAAAGCTAAACACTAGGCCATCTGCTCTCTGATATACGTATACATATATATATTTAATAATTTAATTTTATTGTACTTAAAGATAGAAGAAAATCCGAGAGACGAGGGCCAGGTGTGGCCCTGTGGTAGGTGTGCCGACTGCGAATTAAGGGTCCAAGGTTCAAGACGAAGTAACATGTTTTGCACTTTCAGCTGGGAGTGGTATAAAAGTGATAGTCAGTCCCGTTATTCGGTTAAAAGAGCCAACATAGCCCTTTTGGAGGCGAATTCTGCCGGCTGCCTAGCTGCCTTCTCTCTGATCAGTAGTCCTTAATTAGGAACTATACCTGAATTCTAGAGACCTCAGACCTGACATCTTAAGCCATCTAAGGTGTAATTCATGTGAAAAATGTCAATTATCAACAGACGAAATGAATGAATTAAAATCTTGCTTTTGCCATAACAATAACACCGACTCAAAACTTTCCTGTATGTCGGCTGTAACCCTTAAATAACAAAAACAAAATAAATGCAACTAGATTGAACAAGGAGTAAGCGTTAGATAAAGTGCAAAAATTAATTAATTTATCTTAAGTGTCCTGAGATACCTGAAAACACAAAGTAGGTTTCTCATCGGAGACCTTTGAAAAAAATGTTTCTGGAAAAATAAGAAATTTCTTTAATGGAACCTTTTAATTTTTTGTAATTTCTAAGAAATATTGGGAAAACAAAACAAAAAATATCTGATAAATGAAAGAGTTCCTCGGAGAATATGTTTCAAAATCATTTTTGAATTTCTGGAAAACACTTGGAAGCTAATAGAACTTCTCCGTGGAGATCGCTGAAGTGTTGGTTATTTCTGAACAATGTTTGAAAAACTAGTTTCTAAACAAAAATATATGGTTTATGGAGAACATTTATAATACAAAAAGCCTTCTCCATAAAAACTGGCCCGGCATAGCCAGGTGGTTAGGGCGCTCGTCTCGCAACCTGAGGGTCGAGGGTTCGAATCCACGTCACTTCAAATATATTCGCACTTTCAGCCGTGGGGGCTTTATAATGTGACGGTCAATCTCACTATTCGTTGGTAAAAGAGTAGTCCAACAGTTGGCGGTGGGTGGTGATGGCCTTCCCTCTAGTCTTACACTGCTAAATTAGGGACGGCTAGCGCAAATAGCCCTCGTGTAGCTTTGCGCGAAATTCAAAACAAACCATAAAAATATTTTTTAAAACTTTACTCTTTTTTTTTAGAGAATACTTGAAACAATTCTTGTCTTACATCTGATCATTCAGCAACGACGAATGATTGTAATTGTTAATGCTGGGCAGAGAGTAGCTTTTTTTTTCTAGATACGAAATGTACCCAGATTTTTAGACTGAAGTAAATAAAACATACGTTTAAATTTTAAGTTTTAAATGCTATCATAGGTTTGCCTTAACAAAAATATCAATTCTCTTGCAAAAAAAATAAAGACAGTTTTTATTTCTTATCACTGAGTCTGAAACAGATCAAGAATTATTGGATTAAACAATATATTTTCCGTGTTTCCAGAACTGGCTAATTGACGTACAGTCTTCTCCCGAAACTAAAACCATTTAGTTTACCCCAATTTACTTCTACTTTCAGTCATTAGAGCACGTGACTTTTCAATAAAACTCGTGTTGTATGGCGAATTACGTTTTCTATAGCCGCAGAATAAAGATATATTTATGTTCACCCCATTCATCTTCCATGTTATTTTTACCGCTTCTTTAAAGACCCTTTATTAGCCTTACAATATAGCTGACTGGTGGTTTACGCGGTAAATGATCCAAAAACTTATTCGAATGTCAAAACCACGTGCTTGCTAAAAGTTTGCTCTAGCGAACAAATGAGAGCATCTTTAGGCAGGTCACAAACCTAAAGAACAGTTTGTTTTGTCTATCACGAACAGTGCGAAATTATAGGTCTTTTTTTTTTTGGAACTTTAATTTTCATTTGATACGACGTCGAACTTTTCTTTAGGGACAGTTTTTCAACTAAGGTATCTTGTTTTTTTTTTTGTTTTTTTTTTCGTTCTTGTTCATGGATCAGTAACAAAGGTTATTACAAACTGCTTAATGCGTACGTGCGCAGTGGAAACTTGTGTTTATCTCAGATGAAAAACACTAGGTACATTTTCTTACTAGTTTAATGATTAATACTGTATAAAAATCGTAACAACAGCTCATTGGGTAGAAAACTAAAACACGCATGGAAAATGGAATGATATTTTTGTGTTGATTGTTTTGGAAGTAATTAAACTGTAATATCCTAAAGATCCAAATTGTAATGTTCTCGTACTGGTTACCCCTATTGTTAAACTGGTAATAAAATAAAATTTTGTTGAGATTTAGCTTCTACTCCTTGTAATACAAATGTTTGTTTTTTTATAGGTGTGTTATAATTTTATTACTCGATAAAATGAATTTCTCTGACTTCAATTGGGAGAATTCTTTTAAATGTTATGTCTTGATATTTCGAAATAACGAATTCCTATTTCGAACATTACCTAAGGTTTGGTCTTGAACTGTTCATGTAAAAGCTCAAACCCGGAACATTTCGAAACGTGACCAGGTCCGTGTTAAAATGGGGTTTTTCTTCATTGTTGAACTCTACGTATGACTATTTTCTCGGCATCGCCTTGAAGGCGTCGTACCATTTCAACTACTCCTAAATATAGCTGTAGTAAAAGGTAGTTTGTGGCTCTAACTTTTTTCTGACTAATTTTTCAATAACAAATGAATGTATTGAACTAAATTTTGGGTGTATGCATGGGATCAGTACTATGAAGTACTAATGGAGAGAAGTGTTCATCAAGAATCAATAGAAAGATATGGAAAGGGATCAGGTTTTCTCTGAGTACTAACTATAAACTGTATATATTTAAGTTCGTAATTAAGTATAAAGAATACGATTTTCATTTTAAAAAGTTCTGTTTCAAAAGTTCATTGTTGCATGTTCATACAAAGAGACGTGAACAGTACTTAGATGACTTTCTTGCAAAACTCATATATTAAACACAACAATTCTTAAGAGAAATACAACAGCAACAGTTCGTGTTCTTAGAAAACCTCAAGAGGTTCACCTTAATTTGTATGGCTATCGCTTAAAGCTCTCGGCGGCACTTTATCTCAACAGAAAAAAAAATAAATGTCATTTCTTTAGATGTTGATTCCATGAAAAAACACCTGAGAGTGTTACAAGTCAAAAGCTCTGTTTTGAAGTTCCATAGCAAAAAACAAAGTAATAACCTCGAACCGGCAACGTTTATTTTATGTTCTTGTAGAACTAATTAATAATAAAATGTATTCATGAAGACAAAGTAACTATGGTCCAAGGAACTATATTTTTAAAAAGTATTATATTTGTTATCACCTTTTATACAAAACATATTAGATTGCTACATGCTACCAGTTACAGTAAAAGAGAGAAGTACGCCACAAGTTACAGGAAAAAGACTGGATTTATGTACGTCACAAGTTACAGGGAA